AAAAGGCGCAGCCTGTCACCCTGGGCCGCTGCGCACATAGTTGCCCAACCTCAGGCATCTGGCGGCCGGGCCCCCTACAAGAGTGGGCAGGAGAAACCCGGAGGTGGAACCACAGTGTTTATAGAGGGGTCACTGAATTATACAGAAAAATATTTTCCTTGCCGATGCAATTCCGCGGCCGGGGCGGGACACGGGCCTCGCTGCCGCTGGAATGCGGAGCCGCAGGGTGTCCGTGCGGGTGGGGGGCCTGTGCCGGGGGCGGGGCCCGGGGTTGGGGGGTCGCAGCCTCGCAAAGAACGCGCTGGGCTGCAGCTCCCAGCTCCTCATGGGAAGCGGGGTCTGGGGTCTCACGCACCAGACACTGGCGGGGACAGGAGGGAGGTCCAGGGAGGCCCCGCGCGGGGGCGGGAAGTGTGACAACGGAGGAGCCCCGGTTCTCCTGAACCCCTAATGTTGGGTGCAGAGAGGGTGCTGGATGGGGTTCAGGATCTGTCAGCGCGGGTGGGCGGCCAGGCGAAGAGGGCGCCCTGGAGGTTAAAAAAAAAAGACCTTTGAGAAATGGGGGTGGGGTGGGGCAAAGATAAATAGCAAATGCCAAAGAGCAGTCCTCGCAGGTGTCGGGGTCTGTGTTTAACCACCACCATTCCCAAATGTTCCACATTAAGAAACAAAACCAAACACACTCCACTTCGCTCCAGCCGCTGGCGGGACCCGTGCCACACCCCGGGGCGGCGCCCCAAAGCCGACGGTGCACTTCCGTCTGCCGCCACCCGGTGGCAGCCAAGACCGAGCATCTTTCGCTGTCCTGCGCGTGGGGCAGCTCTCCTGGTCTCCGGAGCGGGGTCAGTAGCGAACGCTCAGAGCGTGGCTCTGATGTCCACGTGACCACACAGTGCGTCGCCTTCGGTCGGCCCTCCGAGGGCCCCAGAAGTAAGTACTGCTGCTTCCTTTGATGATTGGAGAAACCGGCTCAGAGTGGAAAACCTTGATTTCACAAATACCTAGGACTCACCCGGCTTTATATGCAGTGCCCACGTGGCTGTGCAAAGATGGGGTGCAGCCAAGGCTCTGGAGGCTTCAGGAAGGAGACCGGATTCACACCCCTGTATAAGGCTGCCCAGCCTGCCGGGGTCCCAGGGCAGGAGGGGCTCACACAACCATAGGCCTGGCTAGTCACTCAAGTGAGCTGTTCTCAACACACCCTCCCGCCCGGGCACCCATGCCCCTGGGCACCCATGTCCTGGCACCCACAATGAGAAGCACTTTAGGGGGACCCATTCCATAACATCCACCCTGAGAACAAAAGGAACAGCAGGCTGAGGGCTGCAGCCAGGCCCACACAAGGCACCAAATCTGAGTCCTCAGGACCAGCGGGGGCAAGGCCAGGCATATCTCGGGGCAGGTCAGGGGTACCAGACAGCTGGGCACCAGAGACCTTGTCCCCTGGGGGGCCCGGCTGACCCATCTGTGGGAGGGGGAAGTGAGGACAGACCCTCCACTGAGAGAACCCTCCCCCAAATGCCGAGGTCTGCCAGCTCCCTGTCCCCACCCCTAGGAAGCCAGTCTGGAAAGTCAGGTTCAGCCCACAGTCAGCTTTTTCAGGGACCTTTGCCCAAATGCCAGAGGCCCTAGAATGTGGCTGTGCCAGTTCCCAGAAAGGCGATGGGGAAGGAGGCCCTCAGAATGGCCCCCAGTAACCCAAGTCAACGGTGGCCTGGGTAGGTCTCCCAGCTGCACGGTGGTGGCCTTAGAGGTGGGCGAGAGCCGTGTCCATCTTACAGATGAGAAGGGTGAGGCTCCTGGGGGCGAGACCTTCCACGAGTAGGTCCCTAAGACCCCCGCGTGGGCAGAGTGAGCGGCATCCAGGCGCTGGGCTGCAGGGGCAGAGTCCCTACAAGTCAGCCAGGAGTTCCCTGTTGGGAACCCACAGAGCTAAGCCAGCTGCCCGGAGCTCAGGGTGGTTCTCTGCCCAGCCCCTGCCCCAGATGAGAGCCCCCAGACCCTCCCGTTCACCCAGCTGGCTCTCTCCCGCCCCAACCCCAGCCTGTACCTTCCAGCCACGGACAGACAACCTCCTCACCCCTTCCAAGTGCTCACACCAGGCCTTTCCTCTCAGAACCGCCCACCTCCACCCTCTGGGAGGGGAGGGAGCTGGGGTGACCAAAAGTGAGGGGCCCAAGAGAGCTACGCCTCCAGCCTCTCAGGGGTGTGTCCAGAGTAGAGAGGGAAGGCAGCACCCCAGCAGGGACCCCACCCCCTGGCCCTGCACTCCTGTCGCTGCCCAGGGACCCCACTCTGGGCCCTGAGCTCCTGTCCCTGCCCAGGTCTGGCCAGGTGCAAGGAAGAGGGCCAGTGAGCAGCCCCACAGGCTTCCCCATTCTGGTCATGAGGTCAGACAACTATCACTAACAGTGTCCATGGACAGGAGGCCCAGGAGCAGCCCCAAGCCTCTCTCTCTCTCTTTCCCACCTTTTTCATGTGGAGTCGGTGTGGCTTACAAATCAGGTCATTGTGTTTGCTTTCAGCACCTAAAGCCATTTATCAAAGCTGCCAATGGCTTGCCCCTTCCCCCTCCCTTTCTCTCTCTCTTTAAAATCTGTGTTACTGGTGGCCTAGTGGGTTATACATTCGGTTGCTCACCACAAGGTCAGCAGTTTGAAACCACCAGCCTGCCTCTCCATGGACGAAAGAGGAGGCTTTCTCCTCCCATAAAGAGTTATAGTCACAGAAACCCACAGGGGCAGTTCTACCCTGTCCTAGAGGGTCACTGTGAGTCCGCATTGACTCCATGGCAGGGAGTTTGGCTTGGTTTATGCTACTTTCTGTCCATATTGTTACCTATCTGCTCATCTGTCCGTCTGTCTCTGTTCCCTTTTACGGATCTTTTTCAGAACATTTAGTTGTTTGTCCCCCACCCCTAACTCACCTCTCCCTACCCCGCTTGCCCCAGCTCCTGTAGTCTGCTACAGACCACTGAAGGCTGCTTCTTTCGGTGTGAAGACTACTTTTCTACGTTGACTCCTACGTTTCTCCCCAAACAATGGTCTCCTACAGGATCTGTCTTTACAGCATCGACACTTTACTCGACATCACAGCTTCCAGACCTGTCCATGCTGGGCCGTGGAGCAGGCCCATGATTAGAGGGGTGCATGGTTTTCCCGTGTGCCCACCCATCCTCCCCCGGCAGGCACGCGGGCAGTTCCATCTTCGTACGCCCGTGACTGGTGCTGCAGAGACCACGGCTGGGCTTGACGCTGCTCCTGGTTTACTCCTTGTGTCCTTAGGCCATCTACCAAGTAAAGAGACTGCGGGGTCTCACCATA